TTGATAGGAAATGTGCTGGAGGCCTCAGAATTTCATAAAAAAAATCATGTCAATAGTAAAGGTTTAAAAAAGGATTTTTCCATAACCTGGCAACAAGCCAAAGAAATAGTAAAGGAATGTCCTACTTGTTGCTTCTACAATCAAACACCATTACCAGCAGGATGTAACCCAAAAGGTACTCAAAGGAATAAAATCTGGCAGATGGACGTGTTTCACTTTGCAGAATTTGGAAAATTGAAATATGTACACCATACCATTGATACTTATTCAGGATTTCAATGGGCAACTGCTTTGAGTTCTGAAAAAGCTGATTCTGTAATCACTCATTTGCTAGAAGTTATGGCCATCATGGGTATACCTGCACAAATCAAAACTGACAATGCTCCATCATATGTCTCTGTTAAAATGAAACAGTTTTTTGCTTATTACAATATAAGCATACCACATAATCCTACAGGTCAAGCAGTTATAGAAAGATCAAACAGAATTCTAAAGGATATGCTAAATAAACAGAAAGGGGTAACAAAAACCCCCAGAAATAGACTGCATAATGCTCTATTAACTTTGAATTTTCTTTTTTTTTTTTTTTGGTTTTTTTCGAGACAGGGTTTCTCTGTGTAGCTTTGTGCCTTTCCTGGAACTCGCTTTGGAGACCAGGCTGGCCTCGAACTCACAGAGATCCACCTGGCTCTGCCTCCCGAGTGCTGGGATTAAAGGCGTGCGCCACCACCGCCCGGCAACTTTGAATTTTCTTAATGCCAATGAGAAAGGAACAACAGCTGCAGAGAGACATTGGATAATAGAAAAAACTACAGAATTAAATCAGCCTATATACTTTAAGGATGTGCTGACCTCAGAATGGAAACCAGGGTATGTGTTACGTTGGGGATGAGGTTTTGCTTTTGTTTCTACAGGAGAAGATAAGCTGTGGGTACCATCAAAATTGATAAAGGTTCAATTTGAACAAGAGAAACCTCTTAATTAGAGGAGGTGATAGTTCATCAACCAGCATGAACATCCAATTTAAACTAACTTATACCAGTAACACATGCCTTTTCATTTAATCAGATAATAACTTGCCAAAAAGGAACATCCCCAAAATTAGTCTTGGGGAAAGGTTTTTGTTTTTGTCTTTTAGGAGAATGAAGGTTAAGGAATCTGAAAAACACTGGACAAATGAGACAACTGAAGAAAAGGGACAAATCATCTATCCCAGGAAACAGAGTGAAATGGCGTATGGGTATATATTATCTAAAAAAATTTATGTCTTCCTAAATGTTTGTTTCTGCTTTTCTCTAAAGATTTAACACTATTGGTCTTCTAATAGTCCCAGTTCAATTAAAATTTAAAGCTGACTTTGAAGTTGGAGAATGGCTCTCTCCTTCTTTAAACTCAAGCATGTTGTTAAAAGGAAAATGCAAACTCCCTGTATCATGCCAGAATAAAAGAGCCATCTTCTGCTATGGGACAGGAGAAAAGCCAAATTAATTAAGGGACTATTCTATTACTAATCTCAACTCTTTGATTCTATTCTGATTCTTTAAACTCTTTTAAAGTATAAATTTTATACCAAAAATTACAAGATTAATATATATATATAGATATATATACATTTTAAACTTTGTTAAGATATAGATATATAGAGTACTAACTAATTCTAGAAAAAGGCTTCAATTAGCTGCATATATATGTCTTTGTGTTCGAGTCTCTTATCAGTTTTCTGAAGGAAATCACGGCCAGGCCTAACATCAACTGAAGTCTCCAGGAAGAAGATGGGGACCCACAACAACAACAATTCCACGTGGATAATAATAATATCACTAAGCTGACAAACATCATCTACAGATCAGCTTTGAACTACAAGGTGTTCAGAGCAATTTTGAGATGACTAGCTGAGATGATCCAGTCTCAAAGACTACTTGAATAAGGACTTGAGATAAACCCTGAACTTTGGCATTATACACAGACTGGATAATGAAGGATACAGTTACTTTTCCTAGAATTTGACAATTAACCCAAATTTTTTCTTTCAGGATAAAGATAACTTCGCCCATATCCAGCAGGAAGCAATTTTAAGAATATGACGCCCACATTCCCAAAGAGGTGGTGTGGAGCGGGTGTTTTTTTGGTCTTTTTAATGGGTTTTGGGTCTGGGATAATTTTCATTGTTTAGGGGGGTTGGTTACAAGTTGTTGTCAAGGGTTAGGAAAAAGGCTAAGCAAAGGAGATTAGATTTAAGGTTCTTGTTTTAAAAAAAGGAAAAAGAAAAAGACAATTACTAGTTTTAAATACTTTACATTGGATTGGATTGTTTTATATTGTATACAAATTATATATATTGAAATTGATATTGTTAGAAAATGCTATATGTATATTTCTTTTTTTTTTTTTTTTTTTTTGGTTTTTCGAGACAGGGTTTCTCTGTGTAGCTTTGCGCCTTTCCTGGAACTCACTTGGTAGTCCAGGCTGGCCTCGAACTCACAGAGATCCGCCTGGCTCTGCCTCCCGAGTGCTGGGATTAAAGGCGTGCACCACCACCGCCCGGCGTATATTTCTGATTGTACTTATACCGTTCATTTAACAATGCCATGTTCTGATCCTTGAATGTTGTTATTACCAACTATTAGGATATAAAGAAATGAAAGTTAGTAGTCAGATATTACAATAGAACTTGTAGTCATATTAAATATGTTTTAAAAACTGAGCAGATATATTTTAGACAGGTCATCTTCAAACCCTTCAGAGATCTACAGAATATGGCATTTAAAATGTTTTAATAACTTAGAAAATTTTTCTTTTTTGAGACATGTTGGCTCCTGGCAGTACCAATCTACTTCAGAGAAAATATGGGCATTGAAGAAACTGCATATGGAGTTAACTTTCATTGTGGCAAAAGTTAGCCACTGGACAACAAAGTATCCTCGAATCAACAGGACAAAATGAACAGACAGAACATGAAACAAAGGACTACTGATTCTTGCCAAAACAAGTGTGGTTATGGCTTTATCAAAAGGCACCTTCTGAGGCCAGGACAATATGGCACCATCCCTGAAATGACCTTAGCAATTCAGAAAAGGTACAGTGCCCTTTTCTTCGAAGGCAGCTGAACAGGCAGTGGGCCGATGGCTTCTGATGTGCAATGGAACAGCAGCTGAAACAGTTATTCTTGAAGAGTAACTAAGCTCACGCCTCTCAATAGTAGACTGGCATTTGATAGAGGGATGTGGAGAAGAATGGGATGCTGAGATGAAGCCATATATACACAGCCAAGAAGAATGGACAGCTCAATTAAAAAACCATCAACAATTTCCAGAATTTAAAATCCTGAATCATGACATGACATTAGTGGAATTCAGGTGTTTCTGGTACATGGATTGCTCTCACTCAATGTGAGGTTGAACTGTTGACCTTGTGTACATCCTACTTCACAAATGAGTCTGTCAGATACGCTATGCCTATAGGCTGAAGATGATGCCCCAGCACTGCGGAGAAACCTCAGGTGACTGTCCAGGCAGCTGGCCGTTTCTGTCAACTCACAAATTTTTTGGAAGTTACTTGTATGCACTTTCTGTTTTTATTTTTATTAGGTAATATTATTTCCTTCTTGGGTCTCTGAGGGAGTTGAAGATTAGTTAGTTATAGTTGAAGATTAGTTAGTTATAGTTGAAGGTTAGTTAGTTATAGTTGAAGACTAGTTAGGATAGAAAGTGAATTAGGTACATTTTGGACTTACCAAAATAGGATAGATAATGGAATTATTTTCTCTGAATTTGTCAAATAAATATGGACGAGACATTGTTTAGGTATTTATTACTTGTATATATTGTATATAGTTATTGTACTTTTGTATATAGTTTTTCTTTTTTTCTTTTCATTAAAATAGAAAAGGGGAAATATGGTGGTATTTTATTTGTACTGAAATGTGATTTTAATTGTATGTTAATAAATAAAGTTGCCCGGGGGTCAGAGCTATTAGAGCCATAGCAAGAGCATGGCGGTGGTGGCACACGCCTTTAATCCCAGCACTTGGTAGACAGAGCTAGGTAGATCTATGTGTGTTCAAGGATACAGCCAGCGTTGGAGACACACGCCTTTAATCTCAATCCCAACCATAGAAGACCTGGAAGTCTCCTCAGACAGGCAGTGAGGAGACAGTCACGAGTTTGGGTTTACAACCAATGAGAAGGCAGAACAGAAAGACTATATAAGACAAACACATAGGAAGTAGGTCCCTTTCGGAGAGCTCTCTTGGATGAAGCAGGAAGGGTAAGGCTCTTAGTTCTGACCTCTTGGCTTTCTTCTCTGAATCGGCTCTGTGTTTCTTATTTAATAAGACGGTTGGTTACATCTACAATCACCTTCCCTCTTGAGCCTGGACTTTGAAAGTCCCTACTGCATAAATAACCTCAGTTCTCTACCTCTCCTCTATCAACATCTGCTTTACACTTCACAAGATGGACAAAGTCTCCTGCCCACCCTTTCACCTAGTTGTTGAACTTATTTTCTATTCTTTTAGTATTATCACTCCTGAAGTGTGGTCTGAAATGTCCTCAAAGGGCCCCGTGTTAAAGGACTGGACTCTAACCACAGTGCTCCTGAGCTATAGTGGGATCTTTAAGGGGGGCTGTCTAGTGGAGGTTAAGTCATTAGAGGGATCCTTTGAAGGGGGGAGTGGGACTTCACCCTCTCCCCACTGTCTCTTTGCTTGCTGGCTCTCATGAAGTAAGCAGCCCTTCCTGCTCTATGGTCCCGCCGTGACGTACTGTGCCATCAGAGGCGGCAAACTACAGGATCAACAACTACAGACGGGAGTGCTGAGACTTTCTTAACCCTTTCCTATTTATTTATTTATTTATCATTTATTTATTTGTTTGTTTGTTTGTTTATTCATTTATTGGTTTTTGGTTTTTCGAGACAGGGTTTCTCTGTGTAGCTTTGCGCCTTTCCTGGAACTCACTTGGTAGTCCAGGCTGGCCTCGAACCCTTTCCTGTTTATAAGGTTAAGCAGCTTCTTCCCAACTGCCTTTGTCTGCCACATAGGTGTGGGGAATGCTGTACTCAGCCCAGCACCCTTTGTCTGTCTGCAGCGTAAGTGTGGGGGATCCTGTACACTGCCTCTTGGTCTGCACAGCCATAATGAGGTGGTTTGTGTTGAGATCTGCCTTCCGCTGGTCCAGAGCCATAATGGCCTGCAGCCTAAAGAGAAAGTTACAGTTACTGTGAACCGGGAAACACCAAGCTAGGGTGAGAGAGAGTGTGACATCTTTTGTAAATGGTTTTCTGAAGGACCAAGCTATGCCACTAGGAAATGCAGAAGAGCCCAAAGAAGAAAATTGCTAGGATAAAATTGCTGTAAGGGCCAGACAATACACAAAAACTTCGAGACCTTGGAATACTCAGCTCTAAATGGGATGTCTCCCTCAAATCTCTCCCCTCAGGGCTCAGGGAATGCTGTGGAAGAGGCGGAGGAAGGAGTGTAAGAGCCAGAGGTGATGGAGGACACCAAGGAAACAAGGCCTTCTAAACACAACAAGCCTGGTGCACATTCGGATTCAGAGACTGAGGCGGCATGCCCACCGCCTCATGGGTCTGCATCAGACGGACTCCTAGGGCTGAAAGGAGAAGTGGAAACATGCCCCATCCCTAACCCAGGAGTTGTCTCCAATTGATAACTACTCACAAAAGAAATTGTAGTTTTCTTCAAGAGAGTCTCATGGGCTGGAGGGATGGCTCAGAGGTTAAGAGCACTGACTGCTCTTCCAGACGTCCTGAGTTCAATTCTCAGCAAGACTCCTAGGGCTGAAAGGAGAAGTGGAAACATGCCCCATCCCTAACCCAGGAGTTGTCTCCAATTGATAACTACTCACAAAAGAAATTGTAGTTTTCTTCAAGAGAGTCTCATGGGCTGGAGGGATGGCTCAGAGGTTAAGAGCACTGACTGCTCTTCCAGACGTCCTGAGTTCAATTCTCAGCAAGCACATGATGGCTCACAGCCATGTATTGTGGGATCTGGTGCCCTCTTCTGGCCTGCAGGCAGGACACTATATACATAATAAATCTTTAAAGAGAGAGAGAGAGTTGGGGAAACAAACTACCCTTAAGGGTAGTCCTCTTGCCCAGCAGTAGATGGCCAACACAAAACAAACTCAAAGGCATCTTTGGTGGTTTCTTGTCCCATAATGTTTGTTCAGGGCTTTTTCCTTTTCCTTTTTTCCCTTTTTAAAAATTTTATCCTTTTTTATGTTTTGTTTTGTTTTTTTAATTTTTATTTTCCCCTTTGTTTACCCCACAAGTCCTTTGAGTATGTATATGGAGTCCAGTTTGTGTTTTCATGGGATTCGTTAGTGTGAGAGCAAGTGGGTCTCTGCTTTTAGACCTGTTTCTTGTGCCTTTTCTTGGGCTCTTTTCCTTCTGTTTCTTTGTATTATCCTACTCATGTGTTTGTTTCTGGTTTTTGTTTTGTTTTGGTTTGGTTTGGTTTGGTTTTTCGAGACAGGGTTTCTCTGTGTAGCTTTGCGCCTTTCCTGGAACTCACTCTATAGACCAGGCTGGCCTTGAACTCACAGAGATCCGCCTGCCTCTGCCTTGGGAGTGCTGGGATTAAAGGCGTGCGCCACCACCGCCAGGCTTGTTTCTGTTTTATCTTATTTTATTTTATTATTGTCTCTTATAAATCTGTTTGTTGCCGGCAGTGGTGGTACACGCCTTTAATCCCAGCACTCCCGAGGCAGAGGCAGGAGGATCTCTGTGAGTTCAAGGCCAGCCTGGTCTACAGTGTGAGTTCCAGGAAAGGCGCAAAGCTACACAGAGAAACCCTGTCTCAAAAAACCAAACAAACAAACAAAACAGCAAAACAAAAAAAGAAGAAATCTGTTTGTTTTCTACTGAGTGACAGAAGCGGGTGGATCTGAATGGTTCGGGAGCTCAGGAGGATTAAAGGGAGGAACCATAATAAGGATATATCGAATGGGGGGGGGGGTAGACTATTTTCAATACAAGGAAAAAATGCTGTGAGGTTTAGGCAGGCTGAACAACCTTGAAGACATGTGAGGATACTGAAGCTCCTTTTTCACGTTCAGAAGGAGCATCCTCAGTACAGACCCCCTGCTGATCTCTAGTTGGGATGAATGTGTTCCCATACATGTAGTTCCATGCATTCCAATGACTTCAAGCAGTCAAAGCTCAGCTTCTGCTTTTTGTTTTTGTTGCTAATGAATTTCCATCTAGCTGTGTTTTCAAATGTAATTGTTGGAGGGGGAGGCTTCCCAGTTTAGTCAACAAGGCAACACAGGCCGACTGACCCAAGGACCAGGAAACTTGCTGTATGTGTAAGTGCTGCCACCTGCTGGCCATCGGGCTGGTCTCAGGAACAGGGTGCCTTTCCAACCCTCCACAGATGGCCTAAGTAAATACTTGAACTCCCAGCAGGTAAGGATGACTACCCAGAATATCCTTTCAGATAGAAAGAGCATGATCAGTTAACAGCTATGTTCTATGGACTTGAACAGACCTTATAGACCAAAGCTATCTTCCTTTAAGTAAAAAAAAGTAAGTTCAAATGCTCTGCTTTTTGGACTTCAGTTGATCAAATAGACAAGTGATAGCTTCCACAGACACTTTGTAGCATTTGGGCACAGATCAGTCACCATAAGTTTTCAGGCTGTGACTCTTCTACAGTTAGGTTTGGTTGAGGCTCCTGAGGGACAGTGCTGGAAGGCAGAGCTTCTATGTGGAAACTCCCGGTACACACAGCTCTATTGACCCCGTGGGTTGTGATTCCTTCCCCCCAAACAACAGAGGGACAGTCCCATTTGTACCACAGACCTAGAGTCCTGGGTACATCACAGTCTTGGTCTCATCCACAGTCTCAGGGGATCCATCTGAGGTTAAGTATGGCAGACACAGCTTTGCACAGAGTAAACATGACAGCATGTCAGTCTGTTTCCTGTAGCACCAGGAATGGATCACTGGCAACTGACCCACGAATGCCCAGGTTATCACAGTTCAGTGACACAAGGCACTTACCACAATTCTGAATCAGAACCTTCTGGGAGTCTTGCCTCACAGGGGATGTTCCCAACTGCAGGGATCAGCACCTGATGCCCAACAGGTTGTGAACATAGATATGTTGTATAGTCAATGTATGTTTTTCAAACACAAGTACACTTGTACATTCCTGCTGTGAGCTTGTCTGGGCCTTGGGGATCTTATTGGAGGATTGAGCAGGTGGCATTCATACCAAACTCAGGACAAAGGGAACTTTGTTACAACCTATTAAAACCAGAGATGCAATGCATCGTTACAACTCCTGTCCCATCCTGAAGACAGATGAATTATCAGTGTCCAGGAGGGAGTTAAGACTTCTCAACTGAACAAGGAGTTTACCTCTACCATTCCTGACAAATCCCTTACTGATCATAAGAACAGCAAGTCTGCTGGGCGGTGGTGGCGTACGCCTTTAATCCCAGCACTCAGGAGGTAGAGCCAGGTGGATCTCTGTGAGTTCAAGGCCAGTCTGGTCTACAGAGCAAGATCCAGGACAGACACCAAAACTACACAGAGAAACCCTGTCTCGGAAAAAAAAAAAAAAAAAAAAGTAGGTCTGACAGTAGGACTAGATACTACCAATAACTGGTGCCTGATGGGCACATCCTTGCCTAGGCAGTATCCAATGGTCTGCTTTCTGGTCAGTTGGCTGCATGAAGAAGATCTGAAAATTCTCAGAGCAGGAAACCTAGAAAAGGGCATAGAAATGTACATGTAGAACTTTATGCCACGTCTGTGACCATGTTAGGAGGTAGCATATCCTCTAGAGCTGGTGTCTCTTAGGGTTTCAGTGTAGACTTCAGAAAACAGGAGTGTTAACACAACGTCCGGAATGTTTTAACATGTCCCCAGACTGGATGCCGTATGTTGTGTCTTTTTTTTTTCAAGATTTATTTATTTATTATGTATACAGTATTCTGTGTGCATGTATACCTGCAGGCCAGAAGAGGGCACCAGATCTCATTACAGATGGTTGTGAGCCACCATGTGGTTGCTGGGATTTAACTCAGGACCTCTGGAAGAACAGTCAGTGCTCTTAACCACTGAGCCATCTCTCCAGCCCCAGTATGTTGTGTCTTATGTCAACTTGACACAAGTTAAGAGTTGTCTGAAAGGAATGAACCTCAATTGAGAGAATGCCTCCATAAGATCCAACTGTAGGGCATTTTCTTAAGTAGTGATCCATGGGGGGAGGGGCCAGCTCATTGTAGGTAATGCTATCCCTGGGCTGGTGGTCCTGGGTTCTATAAGAAAGCAGGCTGAGCAAGCCATGTGGAGCAACCCAGTAGGTAACACCCCTCCATGGCCTCTGCATCGGCTCCTGTCTTCAGGTTCCTGTCCTGACTTCCTTCAATGATGAACAGCGATATGAAGCGTAAGCCAAATTAAACTTTTCCTCCACAAATTTCTTTGGTCCTGTGTTTCATCACAGCAATAGGAACCCTAACTAAGACACATGTACACTGAGGAAACATCCATATGTTACTATGTGCCCTGTACAGAGGCCACCTGTGTCCAGGAACTAAGGCGTAAGAACAGAAGTGATCCAATTTTCCCATCATTCTTTGTAAGTCAAGTTGGTTTGTGGAAACACTGATTAGAAGACCACAGATCTGGGTTTTCTCTAGCTCACCTTCTCACTGTATGGGTTTCTTTCTTCCTTCCTTCCTTTTTGTGTTTGTTTGTTTGTTTGTTTGTTTTTCAAGACAGGGTTTCTCTTTGTAGCTTTGGAGCCTGTCCTGGAACTCACTCTGTAACCCAGGCTGGCCTCGAACTCACAGAGATCCACCTGCCTCTGCCTCCCAAGTGCTGGGATTAAAGGTGTGCGCCACCACCACCCGGCTGTTCATTCGTTTTTTTTAAGACAGGGTTTCTCTGTGTAACCCTGGTCAGCCTGAAACTCAGAGATCCACCTGCCTCCTGAGTGCTGGAACTACAGGCGTGTGCCACCACCACCCGACAAGGGCTGACTTTCTGATACAACATTTTATGCTCACCTCTCCATTTACTTCTGGTGTAATTAGTCAGTCCCCTAAGTGGTAAGTGTTTGGTGTGAAGTCACTGTCTAGGCTTGAGAGATGGCTGACCTAGGCAACCCTCTATGACTATTGCTTTGATAACACTAGAATAGAGAGGAACACAGGGTTAGACTCTGGTGTGGGGGGTAGATGCCAGTGAGACAGAGAGAGCAAGTCAGACGTATGTAGCTTGAGTTTTCCTGCCTGGCCCACAGTCAGGACAAATCTCTCTCACCTGCCAGCCCCACAGTCGCTCAGACCCGACCAAGTAAACACAGACTTATATTGGTTACAAACTGTATGGCCGTGGCAGGCTTCTTGCTAACTGTTCTTACAGCTTAAATTAATCCATTTCCATTAATCTATACCTTGCCACGTGGCTCGTGGCTTACCGGCATCTTCACATGCTGTTTGTCATCATGGCGGCCGGCAGTGTCTCTCTGACTCAGCCTTCCACTTCCCAGCTTTATTCTCCTCCTTGTCCCGCCTACACTTCCTGCCTGGCCACGGGCCAATCAGTGTTTTATTTATTGACTAATCAGCAACACATTTGCCATACAGAACATCCCACAGCAGACGTACAGAATGGAAGAGAGGTAAAAAGCCATGTGGCAGGCCGGGCGGTGGTGGCGCACGCCTTTAATCCCAGCACTCGGGAGGCAGAGCCAGGCGGATCTCTGTGAGTTCGAGGCCAGCCTGGTCTCCAAAGCGAGTTCCAGGAAAGGCGCAAAGCTACACAGAGAAACCCTGTCTCGAAAAACCAAAAAAAAAAAAAAAGCCATGTGACAGAACATTGATTAATAAAACAGGTTAATTTCAGTTATAAGAGCCAGTTAGGAACAAGCCTAAGCTACAGTCCAAGCTTTCATAATAAATCTCTGTGTCATTATTTGGGGGTTGGCAGGCCAAGAAAGTCTGAAAAGAAAGACTCATTGCAATAGTTTGTATTAATCAGGGTACTAAACAAACAGGATGGAAAATAAAGGACTATTTATATAAACTTCTTCTAAACTCCAACAGCTTAGATTTTCCTGGAAATGTCAGAACTCAATCCCAAATCAAGTAAGAAAAGGTCAATCCAAAGCTACAGTAAACCCAGAAAGTCAAGCTTGGAAGAAAGGATCCCCTGAGTGAACTGACCACCCCTTCCACCACGAAGGGGTGAAGCCCCGCTGGGTGGATGGCTCTCCCAGACAGATCCATGTGCGCCCATAAATTGCTTCCTGCTCATTAACCCGATCTCTGTACTGCCTTTGGATGAGCCCAAAAAAGGACCAACCACCATCTTACCAGTCTCCAAGCTAAACCAGAACCCCAGATCTGCTGAGCGGCAACATCAGCATGCCGGAGCCCAGGTCAGGGGAACGGGGCCCATTAATTAGCCTTTCTCTTTCCAGGGAGGAGGAAAAGGTCACTCACAGAAGACCCTCCCCTGAAGCTCCAGCCACCAAGTTCTTCTGAGATATGACATCGCGGAAATGCTGGGGTATGTAGGGAGTGATTTAAGAAAAAGAAAGAAGGGGAGAAGGTTGGAGGAGTTTTCGGAGGTACATCAGCTCATTATTTCAGCCAGGCTAGGCTTGCCAGCGTCTGGATGTGGTCTGTCACCTCCCTGTTGGGGTGGGGAGAGGAAAGTTCAGACGTGGTTGTTTTTCTTTAAGACTAGCCCAAATTTTCCAGTTCTGTGCTCTTTTTCAAATAGGACATTAATACTCAGATGGGCAAGATAGGAGGATGGTTATGGCTAAGTGTTGATTCCAGAACCTAAAACCATGACCCCAGAAGAGATGAGAGGAAACCTGTTTTTTTATTCTTTTATTAGAATAAAACTAAATCTCCCGTCTGCAGTTCCATCAGCTAAAGCTTTAAACACATCTACCAATAGGGGGCACCTGGAAACCACAGAAAGAAAGCAATGCCTGCCTTGTGACCAGGCCTGTTTTTTACAAACCAATGTCAAAACTGAACCTTCCAAAGTCTCTCAGCCACACTCTAGTTTTCAAGTGTTGGGACAACAGATAACTAGACTCATCGGGGCTGCAGCTCATCAGAAAGACAGAGTTGTAAGTGCTTACCTGGACAAAAGTGAAGAGTGTAAAGGTAACACCTGAAAAGATTACGATCAAGTAAAATGATCAATAGACAGCAGTCTCAATAGCCATGAAGGATGAAAAAAATCAGAACACGTGAGTAAGACAATTGGGCCACTTGGGTTGGCAACGCCCAAGGTATTAACCACCTACCAAGAGGAAGTAGAATAGAAAATACGGACGATAACGTGTGCCAGCAGGTCCTAGGAATTCAGGAGCAAGTAACATGCATGTAGACTAAAAATGCCTGTGACGTCCAGGGAAGAGATTCCACAATAGTTGTTCTCATCTTGTAGTCGAATTCATGTTTTGGCTTCAGAACCAGATCTGGGGTCCGAATCCCAGTACCTTATTCATCCTCTGCAGAGGTGACTCATGTTAAGTAGTTGAGATGTGTGTCCTTACTCCTTAAATGCCACCTCAGACATCAGACACCATGAAGTATGTTTCAAGTCCTGAGTGACCTACTCCACCCTATTATGTCTTTATTGGTCATTTAGACTGATGTAAACACAGTCATGATTCAGCTCATGACGGTCTATGATCTTGCCACACCACACACTTGTGTTCGCATAATAGAAACCTTGTGTTTCCCAGTTGACGTAAGAGTCCGCATTTGTAATGGTCAGATAAGAGTTTCTGTGCCACAGGAAGTGATTATTTCCCTAATACACCTAGCTTCCTACTGAGCAAGGTAAGAGTAACATCCGCCTGACTACAGTTAGGGGCGTAGCTTGCTATTTAACAATGGTACTTAACCCCTTGCTACCACATTAGGGGAGACAGTCCAACTAGAGAGTAGTTGTAAAGGCACTTGAACTGGATACAGAGCTATTTCCAATCTAAAAATGAACATTTTCATGGATGGCGAGAAGAGGGAAGTGACTTAACCTGTGGCTGTGCCTTTTTCTCTGTGATAGTAACTAGCTTATATGACTGTTCTAATGAAACTACTGACGCAGTATATCCGAGTTCAGATTAAGAGCATGAGGCTCAGCACCTATTATCTATTGTCTTTCCACACACATACACTTTATACCACTAGGCACGACCCTGCTCTGCTTCTCTTAGAATCACCAACAGGGCCCTGCATTTTGAGACCAATTAAAACGCACATAAACTAAAAATGTCTATGACATCAGGAGAACCAGAAGCATGTAGCCTCAGTATAGTCCAAAGCAAAGTGGCCAGAATAAAATGAGTAGGGACAGGAGCCCTAACCTATGATGACAGGAGCTGGTGAGAAAGAGAGTGGAATAAAATCAGGCAAGTCTGAAAAGCCAACCAGTGGCCGGGCAGTGGCGGCGCACGCCTTTAATCCCAGCACTCGGGAGGCAGAACCAGGCGGATCTTTGTGAGTTCGAGGCCAGCCTGGTCTACAGAGCGAGATCCAGGAAAGGCGCAAAGCTACACAGAGAAACCCTATCTCGGAAAACCAAAAAAAAGAAAAGAAAAGCCAACCAGTTTCCCATCCTCCCTCCTGCCATCCACCTACCAATTAGTGTGGCCCATCCTCCCTCCTCCCATCCACCTGCCAATCAATCAGTGTGGCCCATCTTCCCTCCTCCCATTCTCCTGCCAATCAATCAGTGTGGCCCATCCTCCCTCCTCCCATCCACCTGCCAATCAATCAGTGTGGCCCATCCTTCCTCCTTCCATCCACCTGCCAATCAATCAGTGTGGCCCATCCTCCCTCCTGCCATCCACCTGCCAGTCAATCAGTGTGGCCCATCCTCCCTCCTCCCATCCACCTGCCAATCAATCAGTGTGGCCCATCCTCCCTCTTCCCATCCACCTGCCAATCAATCAGTATGGCCCATCCTCCCTCTTCCCATCCACCTGCCAATCAATCAGTGTGGCCCATCCTCCCTCCTCCCATCCACCTGCCAATCAATCAGTGTGGCCCATCCTTCCTCCTCCCATTCTCCTGCCAATCAATCAGTGTGGCCCATCCTCCCTTTTCCCATCCACCTGCCAATCAATCAGTGTGGCCCATCCTCCCTCCTCCCATTCTCCTGTCTCATTTTAAGGTTTCCCATAAATTCAATGAGATTAGATAGTAGCATAAACTAAACATAAAAACAGATCCAGGAGGATGCTGGAGAAAACAGAGCCAGGAGAGACCCAGCCATGGAGCTAGGCTGTTAAAATCTGCTTTGAATTGACCACAAAGGCAAGGAGAGCTGCAGGCACCAGGACTTAGAATAGAGACAACAGCAGAAAGCGGCTTTCCACACGGGGGTGTCCCCTTCGCTGAGTACTCTGGACAGAGCAAGATCCTGAAGAGCGCTTTTCAGTTGTGCAAGCTGTCGGCACCCAGGCTGGGAAGATGGTCCCTTCCTTAGTAGACCTCTTGCCTAGTTCCCGGAAAGTCCTGGGTCAATCACCAGTATCACAAAAATAAAAATAAGTAAGTAACCAAACGTCAGAGTTCACTAGTGTGCCTCCGACATGGGGATAGTCACTCTACTTCCTAGCTCACCTGGGCACTTGTGGTTTTTTTGTTTTTGTTTTTGTTTTGTTGGTTTTTTTTTTTTTTTTTTTTTTTTTTGGTTTTTCAAGACAGGGTTTCTCTGTGTAGTTTTGTGCCTTTCCTGGATCTCACTCTGTAGACCAGGCTGGCCTCGAACTCACAGAGATCCACCTGCCTCTGCCTCCCAAGTGCTGGGATTAAAGCATGTGCAACCACCACCCGGCATCACCTGGGCACTTGTATCTCCTACTGATTGGTGTAAGGAATCCTCCTCACCCCTGGAAGATGTAAAGGAACTTCTGAAACATTTTAAAATTCCCAGATCTCACAAATAGTGGATGTTTAAAAAAAAAAAATAGCACACCGAGCTTAGCACTCAGCGATAACTGAGCAGACCCAGCTGATAGGGAGTATTACAGAGATACACCAGCTATTAAGATGGTGAAATGCAGGCAATTGAACCGCTCAGAAGCAAAACCGTTCCTGTAAAATGATAGTCCATGCACTGGGTTGTTTTGTTTTGTTTTGTTTTTTCATTTTTTTGTTTGTTTTTTTTTAACTTGGGCCGTGACTTGTGGTTGTAATTTTGAGTTATCTATAAAGAACCCAGTCACGCAAGTCTTCCATATTCTTAGATAAAGCAAAACAGTAGCTATCTTATTACCTCGCCAGGAACAGACGGAGACAGCAGGTTATATTTCTTTCTTTTCTAAGTGTTGAATTGAGTCAACAGACTCCAAGTAGTGGCCTTTTGTCTACTTCCCAGGTTAGATGTCAAAACTAGCTACTTCCACAGGCAGCGGTGCTCACACAGAGTAAATAGAGGCTGGTCTCTATCGGTAGGCCATATGTGAGCAGCCAATCTTTTAGACCGTCTTTCTCAGAAGTGATGTTTGCTTGCCTCAAAAAGTGATAATTGGTTCTAGGCAGTGGTGGCGCACACCTTTAATCCCAGCACTCGGGAAGCAGAGGCAGGCAGATCTCCGTGAGTTCGAGGCCAGCCTGGTCTACAGAATGAGTTCCAGGACAGCCAATGCTACACAGAGAAACCCTATCTCGAAAACATAAACAAAAAAAAAAAAATGATTGGCATTTACAGATTCATCTTAAGAATTTTTTATCACTTGAGTGAGTAGTGGCTCAAAACTTTAGCTTGGGTAAAACACTGAATATCTAAAAGTTGAAGGAATTATAGGTTTGTGATCTGGAGGTTAGTAATTCAGAAATTTGAACTCACCCCCCACAAAAATACCACAAAATTTCTAAGAGTTCTACATATTAAACATAGTAACTTTAGCTGCGTGGTAGCGGCACACACCCCCTTAATCCCAGCGCTCGGGCCTGCCAGACTGGTCTACAAAGTAAGGTCTGAGATAGCCAAAGCTGTCTCGAAGAAAAACAAAACAAACAAACAAACCAAAGCAACTTCAGAATAAGCCTGGATTTACTAAGGTTCAGCCCCCAGGACTAGACATGACATCCGGTGGGTCGACAGTCAAGCTGCGGCTGCACACTAAGTCTGACCGAATTCTTGGCTGGCAGACACATCATCAGTATAGCAACTTCCAGAACTTTTATCACTCCTCGTCCTCCTGTCAGAGGGATGAGAACACCACAGGATAACTAGCTCCAACTGTTTGCAGTGTTTAGCTGTGAGGAAGCATTCCTTCCTGTGAGCTGCATCCTGCAGGAGTCTCCTGCATCTACCTACTCCTTCAGCCGGGGTAACTGGCGCTTCGGAGAATGCTTGGATCTTGGAGAGGCTAAAGTTGAATTTCAAATTTGATTTATTTTCTTTTTTTCTTTTTTTAAGGTTTGTTTATAGATTTTTGAGTGCTTTGCCCAGAAGAGGGCATCAGATCCCATTATAGACGGTTGTAAGCCATCACGTGGTTGCTGGGAATTGAACTCGGGACCTCTAGAAGAGCAGCCAGTGCTCTTAACTGCTGAGCCATCAAGCCCCCAAAATCGAATTTTTTTTTTTTTGAGCTGAGGATCGAACCCAGGGCCTTGCGCTTGCTAGGCAAGCACTC